GTGCCTAATCTTGGCAGGAGCTTGGTGTACCCAGAACCATGTTTTTTTTTTTTAATACAATAATAAAAAGAAACATCCTTTAAATTGTCTTGTCGTCAAAGTAGCAGTGTCATTTCCATTTGAGAGGTACAAAAATTTTACCTGAAACTGGAATTTAAATTGTAACATAAGTTTGAAAATTTGTTTCAAACTACTCTGTGATAAGTTCATTTTGTTTTTAAACAAAACTTTTTTCCCCCATGGGAAGTGCTATATAAAACATTTTACCCAATTCTCAGGACTGAGAAAAAGAATACATTTGAAGTACATTTTTAGAGGTTCACATTTCCTAGGTCAGGTAAGTGTAGCCTATTCCAGTTTTCTATTTCACAATACTTTTGTATGCATTTACATGCCCACTGGCATGCCATTGGTGCAAATAATTCACTGTTATCCCAGTGGAGACAGTCAATGTAGTGTATTGAAAAGACAGCTGAACCAAACCGGTTCTAATCCTGGCTCAGATACTACCAGACCAGAGGTAATTTGCTTACCTCTGAGAGCCTGTTTTCTTCTGTCAAATGGGCATACCTACCAGCAGATTTAGAGTTGAATGGGACCAATAGGTCATCCAGTCCAAACCTCTTACTATACAGAAGAGGAGATGGAGACTGAGGGAGTCGGGCTCAAGATCACACAAATTAGTAGTAGGGCCAAGTTTGAACCCAGATTCCCTCCACTGTACCAAACCGGAAAACAATTTCCATGGAGGTCAACTAATCCAACCACTCTTTCATTAGAGATGAAGAAACAGAAGTCCAGTTGAAAGAACTATAAAAATGAGTTATTATTACACAGAATGACTTTACTCCCCATCTGATATTCCAGTCACTAAGCATGCCTGAACCCCTCTTTTCCAAATATGCAAAAGATAAACAAAATTTCATATCAGTCTAATTTATAATTAAAAAGGATAGATCTCCACCCCCTACCTTTCCCAACTCTCCCCAAAATAATAGAGCCAAATGCCAATTGACCCTCTCTAGATGTTTTCATATTTTTATCACGAGAATATTGGACTCTATAGCTTCTAAGAACCCTTCCAGTGTTTAATCTATGACCTCATAACACAGATTATATTCTAAAGTCAAATTGCAAAATTAAAGAGAATTTTTGGGAATAATTGTCTTTCTTCCCTTAACTCCCACCATTCTGTGTGGCTGCTGTGAATTATATTTTAAATATAGATTTTAGAGAACCAGGCATGGGAAGCTGAAATGTCAAAATTTAATCTAAAAAACTTCCTGAAAAGTAAATATTTTTACTTTTGATTTAATTTTAAAACATTGCCAATTTGAAAGGTACTGGATACTTTCATCAAAAGAGTAACTACTGTAACTGTGTTTTGTTTTACATATAATATGCATATACTAATAACAGACATAAATAATCTACAGTTAACTTTCAGAACTAAGCTAAGACATGGCTTCCTGGCTGTTACACTAATAAGACACTCCCATCTCTCAGCCCCAGGTATTTTCTCTGGCTGTACCCCATGCCTGGAATGCTCTCTCTCCTCATCCTGAATTCCTTTTAAGTCCCAACTAAAATCCCACTTTCTAAAGGAAACCTTCCATAACCCTTCTTAATTCCCTGTCCTTCCTTCTGTTAATTATCTCCTATTTATCCTGCACATAGCTTGCTTTGTATATATTTGTTTCCATGTTGCATCCCCCTTTAGACTGTAAGCTCTCTGAGGCCGGGACTGTTTCTTGCCCCTTTTTTGTATCTCTAGTGCTTAGCACAATGTCTGATCCAAAGTAGGCACTTAATAAATGTATATTGATTAGTCTCATTTTGATCTTTACATAAATAAGTAACCTTGTAGGGGTAGGTAAGTGTCTTGTTATTTTATAGATGAGACAACTCAGGTCTGGGAGGTTAAATGGTCATTCAGCTCCTAAATGTCAGAGCTAGGATCTGAACCCAAGACACCTGGATCTAAAGCTAGGTTCTTTTTATTTCACCAAAGTTGCCTCACAGTCTTCCAGGAGGATTAGCAATACAGAACTAGCTTGTTACACATATGTAAATAAATTACACAAAACACATAACACAGAGTAATTCAGTGTTTTCAAAGTATACATACACCTTGCTTGATAAGGTAAAAGTCAAACACAGAAGAGGGACAGAAAAGAAAGGGGAAAAGGTGGAGTGGAAGGGCTGGGGCTTTTAGTAATTAGTTTATTTCTGATAGAACTGGAGATAACATCTTGAAATCATTCAAATTGCAAGAGTCCAAAGCAGAGCACTAGAAGAATTTGAATTACAAAAGGAGACCAAACTTTGGAAGTAGAGCAGCTTTTTAATCAATCCTCTCCAGTAGTAGGAAAGCATTTATAAAAGTCCACGTGAGCAACAAGGAAGTTGTACACCCCATATTTCTGGCGAATTATACTTAAGAACTTGAGTAGTAAGGCTCCTTTAATTCTTCTTTTCATACAGATGCAGAGAGGAGATGACAGAGCAGCAGTCTAGGTGGAACCAAATCCTGGCAGGAATCAGGTGAACTAAAACCATGCCAGTAGGATTTGAAGAGCAAAAATAAAAAGTGGCAATGATGGCTGTATGCCTATTCCCCTCAAACTCAAAATTTGGTTTATGACAATTTATAAAGTGACTATAAAACAAGTGCTTGATCAGTCCTATGATATTTCAGTCAAAAACACACTATCTTTGTAACCCAAGCCATCATTATTTGAATATTATTGAAAATCTTTTCCTTCAAACCATTATTTCAGCTAACAACCCACAAGTACCATTAAGGAAATCAACACAGAGACATGCTGTTATTTCTACTGAAAATGAAAATTCTCATAAGAACAATATTAACAATTTTCCAGTGAAATTTTTGGTCGAGGATCATTTTGACAGGCGACTGGGCAAAATGTTGATAATGGAACCTTGAATTCAGGGCCAACAAAGCCTTCCTGATTTCTGATTTTTGTCGTGAATCCCAAACTTGAGTATTATTAAAAGAGAAGTTCCCCAAGCTTCCTATATTCTCCTAATGAACTCTTACCATTTCAAGTAAGCTTAGGTTGAGGTTGGGGTGAACCCTTTAACTAGCCTGTGAAGTGAGATGAGGGACCTAAAAACCTTAGGTGGAAACTATATGCGGTTTCACCTTTTCTTTTTAAAAATAGTCAAAGTTCCATGCTTTGCATCAAGTTTCATTTTTATAATTTTTAGAGGTAAAATTTGACAAGCAAATTTAACCACTAGTAGGAAAGTAAATTCAACTGTATACTCTCATACTTTAAATGTTTATCATTAAATGCCCACTAAAATTGTCAGTTTTGTCAAAAGTCCCTAAAAGTTAGCTAAGTCCTTAAGCAAAAAGAATCTCCCCCCCACATACCCATTCAATTTAAATGTTCATACTACTAAAGAAAATACCATTAGCTTCAGAGAGTAAAATGGGACCAAAATTTAAAAATATTACCGTTTCCTTGCTTCCTCCCATTCTTTCAACTACAGTATTACATATATCGGATACAGAATTCATCACACAAAAACTAATGACAAAGACATTGATTATAAAAGTGCTTCTCTCTCCAAACCCCATTTTAAAAAGTGTCCTGGGCAAAGCGATATTTAAGTATCAATTCAACATACACCTGTAATCTCAGTATTCAGGGAAATGATAGAAAAAAATTAACACTTCTCTGATTATTAAAATATGTTCATGTGGCCTTTTTTAAAAAAAAATCTTAATTCAAGAAAGCTTCTACACCATAATGGCTAACTAATGTCCAGAGAAAAAAAATTTAAAATGTTCTACCCTGCCTCCTCCTTTTCTTTATAAACCTCCAGTTTCATTTGCCTGTTATCTTTTATATTGTGAACTTTGTTAATAATTCAAAACTGGATTGTTTTAGGATAAACTACAAAAATACTATCATATTTTCCCTTTTCTTGTTAGACTGAGTTGCCTTAAGTACGTTTTCTCATGCCAAGCTCAGCTTGATACCACCCCGTGACCTTTCACCTTTCTGATCCGGCACCTGCAATTCTCAAATGTGCTTAGTAAAATTGCCAGCACACTGGTATTTGTGGTCTGGATTGTAGCTATTTCAACATACTTGTGCCCACTAGTGAAAAGCTTCCTGCCCCCTCCCTTAAAATCATGTGAGTTTGGCTTTAAAAGAATACATTGTCGCTCTAAGTTACTCTTCAAGAAAACAGTGATTCATAAAAAATGCGAGTAAAAGTGGCTGGATTTTTATTTCGCATTGGTAATGTACTTCCTGAGTACAATACCTTCCTACCAAGTTGCTATGTCCTAGAAGCAAGGTCATATCCTAAAATGTCTCAGGATTGTCCAGAATACAGAAAATCAGTTCTCTTCAAAAAAAAAATCTTCACTTTGATTTATTTTCATTGACCTGTCAGTTATCAGTTCATTAATAATAGTGTATATTTTCCTGGCCACCAAAGCTTTTAAAGCAAAATAACCCATCTACTTGAAACTAAGGTGACCTGAGAGGTAAGTTAGTTGCTCCTGAGAATGGTCTGATTCAGGACTGGCAAATATTTAAACCTAACTCTAGAGTTATGCATGTTGCCACAATCTCGGTTTAATTATCTAATTTTATTCACCTGTGTCTCTTGACAGAGCCAATCAAGTCTTTTTCACGCATGAAAAAAATTTGATTTCTTTCCTTGGAAACAATTCCTCATCATAGAAAAGTGATTTCTTTGCAGTGTCTAGGACTTTCTGGTTTTCTAGAAGCTGAGGCTTTCCTAACAGTTTACTTCCTCCTAAGTAAGTGCTGACCATCATTGGGGGAGGGGGGGTGTAAGAAGTGGGGGGGAGACAAGGAACCAAAAGGACCAAAAGAAAAGGGCTGGAAAGGGGGGAGGTGTTGGGGGGGGAAACAAGAAAAGGAAAACAAGATGAAAGAAAGCCAAATAATCCCCCCCAAAAAAAACCCTCAAGAACAAAAACACCCACCTACCTGTATTAAGGGTTTGAAGTCAATCACTTCAGAAGAACAGCATTCACAGCAGAGAGCAAAATAGTCAACTGGGAAGTAACCTACAGCGGCATCCTCCCTCCCTCCCTCTCTCTTTTTTCTAATGTAAAATCAAAATAAGGAGTGTCAGGCTACTCCTCCAGTGCCTGCTTAAAGCAACAGATCTTTTTCAGGATTAGCTCCCTGGCTAGCGTGTGCGGAAGTTTTTTGAGTCCCCTGGAATGCCGAAAACCTGCAGAAAGAAAGTCAGCAAGGAACAGAAGCAGGGGAAGTTCATTCAGCCCCTTGCTTTCCCCTGACCTAAGCCGCACATTCCAGTCTTAAACAGGAGCGCTAATCAGAAAAGGCAACTCTCAAACCAAATTCCTGCCTGGACACAAAACAGCAAAATCCAGCTAATACACTCTCAGAGGCTCGGTTCCCTCCTGCCCACCAACTCGGGAAGCTGTGGGAACCCTCCGGAGCCCAGCCTAAAACCCGTGTATGAGAAAAGGGAAAAGTTCAGTGTCCCATCTCGATCTTCTTTTCCCTGGCCCCACTCCCCCCGCCCCCTTTTCTGGTTCTCTCGCTTCACAGTAGCAAGGTTGTCTCTTGTATACTCCCTTCCCTTAAACTCACCAAACCAGATTTTTACTCCCTAACACCAGCAACTTCCCGTAAATCTGAACTGAAATTTTATCCTGTTCACTGAGCCGCTGCTGGCTGAAGGCCAGTGCAGCATTCCGGTTGTTTTAGGAGCGCAGATACCTTTGCTGAAGGTTGTCCTTCTTAATAAATAAATAAACTGGCTCGGGTGAAAAGGCTGGTTCCATAGGAGAACGCTTAGGAACTCTGCAAAGTCTGCTCAGCACGCTTGACCTTGACAAACTTCTACTCCCCCCACCCCCAGCACCCTTTAAGAATCAAACACATATCAAACAGGGATAATTGAAGCCTATTTACAGAAAAAAAATTTTTTAATAGAAATAACTGGTACTAGCTAATTACAAAAGCACCTGTCTCACCTAACATTTTGTCCAACAACTCTCATTCTCTGTCTCCCTTCCTCCCTCCCTCCCTCTCATTTCTGAGAAACAAAACCAGAAGCATTTTTTGAGGAATAAGGAACCAGCTACTGAACAATCAGAGGTCAAATCCAACAGCAAGCCTCTCCCCCTTCAACACTCCCAGCCACTTAGAAAATAAATAATTTCAATTTCCATTCTAGCACATGTCTGACAGAGGCACCGAAAAACAGAAACCTGACTCACCTGAGGCATAGCATGTCTTGAAGCCATGCAGGAAGGTGCGTCATTGGGAGAAACCCATGACCTTTACTGATCCATTGTCAGCAGGGTATTGGTGGGGCTTACAAAAGTGGAGCTTCATTTTAACAGATTCTGACCTAAAGTTACATCTGGTTTCTAGAAACGGAACAAAAAACAGTAATCGAAAAGCAAGAGCCAAACCCTCTTAACGTTTCTCTTTTTTTTTCTGACCTGGTCAGGCTTTCTCCCCCACCCCGCACCATCCAAAAGAAACAATGAAAGCAGACTACAAATAAGGTCACCCCTTTTACATTACCTGTGTATTCAAAGGGTGAGTAGTCTGATGTGCTTAAACAACCATTAAGTCTGTTTATTGTCAATAGGATTAGCCAACAGGAATCTCTTTTGGTGCTTGTGACTGCATGAGTTGGAAGAGGAAGCAGGCAACATCAGAAACCTAAAAAAGAATCCTGATTTCTGGTTACAAAGTCATGCAACTGAAAGAATTATGGTTGCTTTTTTTTTTTAAACATGGAAGGGGGTAAACTACCCTTTAGTAAAAGATAATTTCAATAATTTGCTAAAGGGAAGTGGGAGTAATAGAAAGAACTTAAGTCTGGGAATTTTAAAAGATCATAATAAGATCACAGCTTTAGACCTAGAAAGGAGCCATGGGAATCATCTAGCCCAATACCCTTGTTTTACAAAAGAAACAGAGGCCCTGAGGGGAACAGTCAGTCTGCCAGTCAATAACCATTTACTAAACTGCCACTAGGTGCTAGGCTCTATGCAAAGCCCTAGAGACACAAAGAAAGGCAAAAAGCAGACCCTGCTCTCTAGGAGCTCACAATCTAATGGAGGAGATACCAACAAAGAAATATGTATGAAGAAATTCTATCTAGAATAAATTAGAAATACTTAATGGAGAAATGCACTAGAATTAAGAAGGATTAGGAAAAGTTTCTGACAGAAGGTGGGATTTTAGATGAGACTTGAAGGGAAACTTGGAGGCAGATAGGGACTGAGGGCATTCCAGGCTTGGGGTACAGCTGGTGCAAATGCCAGGAGCCAAGAGATGGAATGTTGTTTGCTGAACTGCAAGGAGGTCAGTGTCACTGAATCAAAAGTAGAGTGACTTGCCCAGTGTCATGGGGGTTGTAAACATTCCGGCAGGGATTTAAACCACAGTCCTATCACTGTGAATCCAGTATTCTTTACAATGCACAACCCTTCTCTAGTCTTGCTTCTGGCAACTACCTTATGACCTTGGGTGTTTACTCTCTCTGGTCCCCAGTTTCCTCATCTGTAAAATGAGGGGACTGAACTACATCCCATTTATACCTTCCACAATAGAATGTAAGCTGCTTGCCATCAGATTTTTGTATTCTTTGTATCCCACCACCTACCATAGTACCTAGCACAAAGTAGGTGCATAATAATTGCTTGTTGATGGATTTACTCTACAATTCTAATCATGTGATCTGTCACTTTACCAGTTATAGAGTTTGAATGTGATTGTAAGGAAAGCCCTATTGACTGACTCCTCTACTTAAAATTAAAAAAAAAACACTAAGCATCCTACTTTAAATTCACAAACTTTTGTTTGGGACACAAAAAGTGAGGAAAATAAATAAATAAGAATTTATTAAACACCAACTATGTGGTAGGCTCTGTGCAGTCTTTGGGGATACAAAGACGGAAATGAAAGAGCCTCTGTCCTCAAGGATCTGGGGTGGAGGAGAGGACATATGTACGTATATAGATGGAGGACTGTTCGGGAGCCAGCTCTAAGCAAGAGAGCCCCCGTTGCTAAATTTTCAATATGAGCATTTATACTTCAGAAATCCTGGCTACAAATCCCGAGGTTGACATTGTTTTATTGATTGTCTAGACTCACAAAAGTGTTAATAATGCAAATTAAACTTAAAAGTATGTGTATACAACCTGTAATCAATCAATAAACATCTATTAAGTGCCTACTAAGCACCAGAGGAGGAGCTAAGCTCACCAGATACAGAAAGAGACAAAAAGCAGTTCCTGCCCAGAAGGAATTTACAAAACAATTTACAAAAAGCAACTTTTAAACAAATATACGGACATAAGCTATATGCAGGATAAATAGGAAATAATTAATACAGGGAAGACACCAGAATTAACCTAGGTAGAAAAAGGATTCTTGGAGAAGGTGGGATTTTAGTAGGGATTTAAAAGAAGCCAAGAAAAAATATATATATATATAGTCAAAGTGAAATTCTCTTGGGGGAGGTAGGAAAGGATTGAATTACCTGGATTGCACAGGTTCTCCCCATATTTTGTATACATTTACTTAATATAATCTCTGAGTAAGAATCCAAATAATATGCAAAATTTACTATATGGATGTATATATATATATATATATATATATGTATATATTCTTATTAAGGCCTTGGTATTAATTTTCTGAAGGGAATAAATTGGAGCTATGAGTTCAACAAAAAAAATAAAATAAAATAAAAAATAAAAGAAGCCAAGAAAGTCAGTAGGCAGAGTTGTAGAGGATCAGCATTCCAGGTAGACAGAAAGCCAAAGAAAATGTCCATAGCCAAGAGATGGAGTGTCTTGTTTGAGGGAACAGCCAGAAGGCCAATGTCACTGGATCAAAGAGAACATGGAAGGGAGCATGATATGAGAAGATTGGAAGGGTAAAGGAGGGGTAGTTTATGAAAGGCGTTACCAGACAGAGGACTTGTATTTGATCCTGGAGGCAATAGGGAGCCACTGGAGTCTATTGCATAGGGGGGAAATGTTCAGACCTGCATTTTAGGAAAATCTCTTTAGTGGCTGAATGGAGAATGGATTGGAAAGGGGAGAGATATGAGGCAGGCAGATCTACCAGCAACCTATTGCAATAGTCCAGTAGTGAAGTGATGAAAGCCTGCCTACAAAGGTAGTAGTGGCAGAGAAGAGGAGTCACACATTTAGGAGATGTTGCAAAGGTGAGGTCAAACTTGGACATGGCTAGGAGGGGGAAGACATAGTAAAAAGAGTTCAGGATAACACCTAGGATGTAAGCCTGAGGGAGTGAGAAGATGGGTGATGTTCTCTATAGTAACAGGGAAGCTAGTAGGGGTGGAGGGAGGGTTTAGTAGGAAAGATAATAAGTTTTGTTCTGGATATGTTGAGTTTAAGATGCCTACTGGACACATCCACTTTAAAATATTTGAAAGGTAGGTGGAGATGCCAGATTTGAGGTCAGCAGTGAGCTTGGACAGGATAGGTAGATGTGAAAATCATCATCATAGAGATAGTACTTAAATCCATGAGAGCTGTTGAGATCACCAAGTGAAGTAGTATAGAGGGAGAAGAGAAGAGGGTCCAGGACAGAACCCTGAGGGACACCTACGGTTACAGGGTGTGATCTGGATGAGGATCCAGCAAAGGAGACTGAGAAGGAGCAGTCAGACAGGTAGAAGAATCATAAGAGAGTAGTATTCCAAAAACCAAGAGAGAAGAGAATAGCAAGGAAAGGATGATTGATCAGTAGTGTCAAAGGCTGCATAGATTTCAAGGAGAGTGAGATTGAGGAAAGGCCATTGGATTTGACAACTAAGGGATCATTGATAACTTTGGAGAGAGCAGTTTTGGTGGAATCATAAGGTTGGAAGCTGGATTGTAAGGGCTTAAGAAGAGAATGAGAAGAGAGAAAATTGGAGTAGCTATTGTAGACGGCTTTCCAAGCAGTTTAACTATGAAAAGCAGAAGAGAAATAGGATAATAATTAGCAGGGATGGAAGGAGGGTTTTTTTTTGTTTTGCTTTGTTTCATTTTTTTCAAGATGAAGGAGAGACATGGGCAAGTTTGTAGGCAGTACTGAATAAGCCAGTAGACAGAGAGAAATTGAAGGTAACTGATAGAATGGGGATAACAAATAGGGCAATCAGTTGGAGGAGAGGGGATGGAATAGGAACACTTGAAGAGGTAGAAGGAGTTAGCCTTGGTAAGGAGAAAGGCCACCTGATCACGTAATACAGGGGTAAAAGAGGAGATAGTGGTGAAGGCATCAAACGGTACATGAAGAAGAAGGAGCTCACTGTGATACATTCACCAGTACCTCTACCTCTGTATTGTTCTATAACCATTGCTTAAACTCAGTAGGAGTGCAGTATAAGGTTCAGGGAAGTCTATAAGCTGCTGCTGCTGCTGCTGCTGCTGCTGCTAACTGGCATTTACATTGCACTTTAAGGTTTGCAAAGCTCTTTACATCCATGATCTCATTGGAGATCACAATGCTCACAACACTCCTGGGAATATTCAAAATAGACACTA